TCTCTCTCTCTCTCTCTCTCTCTCTCCTGGGAGTCAGACTCAGGACCTTGTGCTTGCCAGGCAGGTGCCGTGCTGCTAAACTATGTCCCTGGCTAGGGTTTCTTTTTCGACTCCATTCCACTGGTCAGCACCCATCCTTCTGCTCATACAATGCTGCTCCAGTTACTGTAGTGGTAGCGGGAGCTCCAGTTTTGTTGTTCTTGTTGAGGACTGTTGAAGCTGTCCTGGGTATGGTGCATTTCTAGATGCAGCCCAGGATCAGTGTCAGCTTTGGCAGATGCCTGCTGGGATCTCCCAAGGGGGTATTGTTGGATGTTTGGATTAGTTTGAGGGAATAGTGCCACCTTAACAACACTGAATGTGCCAATTTGAGAACATAATCTCTCCCTTTATTTAGGTATTTTCAAATCTCTTCAATAACATGTTGTAACTTTATTTACTTGTTTTTTTATTTTTATTTATTTATATTTGTTTTGGAGACAGGCTGTTACTGTGTAATTTAGGCTAGCCTTGAATGAATGAACTCACTGTGTAGCCCAGCCTGGCCTTGAGTTTATGATCCTCCTGCCTCAGTCTTCCAAGTATTAGGGTTATAGGTGTGCATCACCACCTGGCTCACCATGATGTAATTTTAAAATGCATAGTTTCATCCATGAGGATGAGAGTGTGCTTGGAAACATGTTCCTCTGGAAGGTGATGCAGACAGGTGGGTGAGGGAGGTGTTGCTCTTTATTTTATATACTTTTTCAGTACATTTTAATTTATTTTGAGAATTCCAATACATTTTGCCAGTTAAGTGAGGTCAAAGTATGTGTTAGAGGAGTGACTGTTGGAATTCACTGTAAGTTCTTATAACTGATGACCTTGCTCAGTATGCTTTAAATAAAGTTAAATACAGCTCACATAAAAAGTTCTTCAGGGATATCTCTATTGCAAAAAAATAGGGTGTGGCTGTTACTCCTTTGGGGCAGATTTAATAATGAAAATGATATTAATGGAATAGAATTTGTGTTAGTTACCTCTTCTGTCTCCCGAAATGAAGGCTTCCTCCTGCCCTGTCCCCAGCTCTCATCATTGTGTCATGCCCCTCCCCTACTCCCTCACCCATGAATCATTTGGGGCCCTACAGGGTGCTGACCCACCACAGTGCAGGAGGAGCTTTCCCCAGTCATGGTGTCTCTGGCCTGAAGGTTGTTACACCACTTCTCACCAGTTTTAATTAGCACTTACTGCCTGGCTCTGGGACACTTGTCCTGGCTTTGGGAGCCTTTGGGTGAACAGGTAGGGCCGGCCTGGAGCTGTGTGTGCTCCCTGTGTCACGGGCCCTTTCTGTGTGGCACAGAGGCTGGAGGCTGTGTCCAAGTAGGTCCTGCATGCTCTGTGCACTGTGGAAGCAACCTGCCTATTTTTTGCACTTTGTGGGTTTCTGCTGGGGCACAGATGTCCTTGGGTGCTGTTCAGGTTTGGAGCACTATCAGGTGCATCTGCTGTCCCCACTGTTTAGTACTTGTGCTGTTCCTGCCCTGGGCTATGTGCACACTGATGGGCAACATGCATTGCAGCCTGTCACCTGGTTACCCTGACTCCTTCCCAGGCATGCAGTGCTGCAGTGCAGCCCTTTGCCCTTTGCCCTGAGGGTGGTGCTGCTGGTGTGCTTTGAACTTACTGAGATGGCAGGGCAGGTGGCTCAGGGACAGGATGGACAGGACTGTCAGTCATTGTCAGGCTTTGGCCCTCTTTCATGTCAGCCACAGTTGGAGTGAGCAAGTTCAGATGGGATTCATGCACAGGGTGCGTCTGGTCATGGTACTTCATTGTAGTGCTCACCTTGCTCCTTTTCCAAGCTGAACAAGTCAGGCCACTGTTGAATGAGTAAGATGGAAAGTTGTTTGTGTCCTTTGGGCATTCATAGTTGTCTTGGATAGATCTGTTTTGTTTCCTTTCTTGGTTTTCTTTTCTTTGAGGCTCTTAAGCCAGGACTGTCCTCTGTGAAAGGTGCGGTGGTTTAGAAGTGTGGAAGCAGCTTGTCCAAGGCCACATGTGCTTACCCCCATGTGGGCAGGGATTTGCTGGCAGCAATCCTGGTCAGTATACCACTGTACTCTACCGCCTGACCCCCGGGCTAGGACTGCAGGTAGCCTTGTTATTGGCAATATGGGCATACTTCAGGAAGTACTTGATTGTGCTTCTGAGGCTACAAAATGCCCAGTGGTGCCTTTGTTTTTAAAGAAAGCACCATTATGAGAAACAAAGAACTGTTTTCATGGTGTTGAAGAAATACCTTTGTGGCTCATTCTGAAGATGGTTCCCTGCATTTTTCTGATTCTAGACTCAGAGGTGCCAGTAGTCTTGAGGCCTGGAACCTTTCCTCATGTGAGAAAGGTGTGACTTCTGAAGACAGGCTTTGTCAGCCCAGCGGCTGTTTCCACAGGTGGAATGTGCTCTGATCCACATAGGTCTTGAGTCACTGAGTCCTTAGGTTTCCCAGCTTTGCCTCACAGTGAATGGCAGCAGCAACCAGGAGGTGGCACAGAGTGCTGATGAGGGACACTTGTTCCTTGCTGTGAGTTCTGGTGGCCACATGGCTCAGCATGGCTGTGTGCCTCTCATATGAGGCCTATGGTGGCCTGGAGTTAAGGAGAGGTTACTTAGGCTACTACAGGAAGAGAGACATGAACAAAGCTGGGGGTCTCCCATGCTTTCATGCCTCATAGTCTCTGCTGCTACTGCTGTACCATCATGAAGGACCCTTGCTACCTCCTCGTCCCACCTCCTCATCTAGCATCCCTGTTCCATCTCCTGCTAGGCTCTGGCACTATCATGCAGTCATTCCCTCCAACCCAGATATGTTCATTGTTGTTTCCCCCAAAAGTGGCAGGACACAATTTTCAGAGTCAATATTTGTCTCTGAGAGTGAATAGAACTGGCTCTGTCACACCACACCATTCTCCAGAAGTCTGTCACTGCCAAAGGAACTTTAGAGCTTTCTCCTAGCTTCTTCCCTTAATTGTGATACTTTGCTAATTTATGTTAATTTCACTGAGTCAAAGTAATTGCATCAAGATTTTAAGCAAGTTTATGCCCCTAAAAAAACCTTGTGGTTTAAGGTAGAGATAATTTCTGAACCAGTGTTTCTGCCAATTGCTTTTCCTGGGCCATTTCTTGGGTTCACCTGGGTGGCAGCAGGGCTGATGGATCCCTGGGACATCCAGGTCTGGGTTCCATGGGATGGAGGTTCTTTAAGGAAGCAAAGCTGTCAAGTGTAGGTCCTGATCTTCCACGTGGTTTCTTTCTTTCTCCTTTGTCCCTACACTACATGTTCCCATGGTGCATGTGTGTGTGCAGTCTGTCTGTCTGTCTGTCTGTCTTGTCTTGTCTTGTCTTGTCTTGTCTTGTCTTGTCTTGTCTTGTCTTTTGAGACAGGGTCTGGCTATGCAGTTCAGGCTGACCTTAAACCTGTGATCCTCTTTCCTCAGCCTCCCAAGTGCTGTGATTATAGGCATGTGCCATCACCACTTTCCATCCCCACAGTGATTTCTCCTTCAATATCTAGCAGTTACTGGACAATCCTGCATTATCGAATTCATATAATAAAGACTATTCAAGATCTTTAAAACTATTCTGTTCAGTCATTTCTCTGTTGCTGGGACAAAATATGCCAGCAATTTAAAAGAGAGGTTTGTTTTGGCTCATGTTTCAGAGGACTCAGTCTATGGTTAGCTGGCCCAAGGCAAAAATAGGGTGAGAAGGGGCATGGTGGAGGAAAGCTGTTCAACCTATGGGAGTAAGGAAAGACACAGAGACAGAGAGAGACTGTGTTGGGGTAGAAGAGGAACGGGGCAAAAGTGCACTCTTCTGGGTTATGCCCTCAATGACTGGCTCCAGCCAGGACCCGCCTCCAACAGCACAGTCAGCCTCGAACCCACCCATGAATGCAGTGTCGATGCTCCAGCAGCTCCTCTTATGAGGGCAGTGGTGCAGTGATGCTCCAGCAGCTTCTCTTGTGAACACAAGGAACTTTCAGGGATGTTCTAGAGCTAAGACACAGCCTGTTTCTGTAGTGAAGTTTGTAGTGAGGGGTTGTTTTCCCTCAGATGCAGTCAGGCTGGTGGCCATCACTCTTTCCCTCTCCTGCTGCCATTGGTCTTGGCCACCATAGAGGGCTTTAATCCTTCAGAAGACCTTCTAACTGCTTTAATCACCTCTGCTGTTGGTGTGTGAGGGTGTGTTGTGTGTGTTAGTGAAGGTAGTGGCCCCAGTGGCGTTGCAGTGTCAGTGGGGATGATGGGTGCTTGCAGCCTGGCCTTGTGCACTTAGGGAGCCAGGTATCACCTATGCTCTTCATCAGCTGCTGCTCCTCATCTGCCTTCCTTTCTTTCCTTATCCCTTTCTCTTTCTTGCTTTCCTGTTTTCTTTCCTTTCCTTTCTTTCTGTGCCAGGGCCTTCACATGGAACTCTATCCCAAGCCCTTTTTTAAATTTTGAAATAGAGTCTCATGAAGTCCCAAAGTTGCCCAGTGTAGGTTTGAACTTGGAATTTTTCTACCTCAGCCTCACAGTGTTATGTACTTCTTACATAAGGTTATAAAAGTCACTTCTTAGGCATGTTCACGAATGTTAAATAATTTTCCTTTGAATTACTTCCTAACCCTGCATTTGAGTAAGTACCATGGATTCTAGCTGACCGCCATCCCTGATCCACACTATTGCCCTCACACATGGCTGCACCACCTGTCTGGAGGGGCAGACTCCCATGGGCCTTGCTGCTACCTGCCACTTTTGTGAGTGGCATTGAGTCTCTGTACCTGCCCAAGACTGACAGCAGCTGGAATGGCAGAGAGAGACACCTTGCTGTTCAGAGAAGAGTATTGAGATTATTTTGTCTTTTCATGACCACTTAGAAACAGAACATCCTATCCCCAGAGAATTATGAGCAACATTGCAGATTGTACTTGAGTTCCTATCCACCTATTCCCTGTCTTCTAGGGGCCCTGAAGACACCTGTTTTGAGTTTGGTGTTTTTCCTGCCATCCTGAGCTTCCCACTGGATTACCCACTGAGTCCTCCAAAGATGCGTTTCACCTGTGAGATGTTTCACCCCAACAGTGAGTACTTCTGTGTGTGGGTTGTGGACCTACTGTCCCTAACTAGTGTGGGTCTTGCTTGGAAATGGAAACCAGAGAAAGAGGAGGTGGAGCACAGCTCTGACAGAGGTCCAGCAGTTTTGTCATAAAGACTATCTGCACACAGGGATAGGAGCAGGGCTCCAGCTTAAGGAGCAGGGCTTGCCATGGGTTGGGGTCAGATGGGCCACCCTTAGCAGCAGGAAGCTAGCTGTCAGGGGTCCAGCTAGCCCTTACCTCCATACTGGGCTCACCAACCTGTAGACAGACATTTCCTAGGTGACAGATTGTTGGTGTGCAGAGCTGAAGAGTCATGGTTTTTAGCAAAAATCATTTCTAAGTCTTGATCTGCCCCAGAAGAAAATACAAGTCATGTTTTTGATGAGCAAGAGGGTAAGAGCCCAGGAGCTTACTGGTTCTTTGTTTGTATAGTGTCCTTTATGTCATGACTATGTCACCAGGAGAGACAGGTTACACCCACATGGTGTGCTTTGTGTCACAGTATAGGCTTTTAAGACAAGTTTGTGGAGGACCACCTGTTCGGGCCCCCCTGCTGTCCCTCTTTCAGACAGAAGTTTTCTTTCCCCCAATATATTCTGCTTATAAAAAAAAAAAAAGTTTGTAAGCTTTCAAACTTCGGCAAAGTCACGGTGGCATTAACACCATGTTTGTAGCTGTGAATATCAGCTGAATGTGGATAAAGGAACTGTGGCCCAGATGTCCTGCTTTAGTGGTTGCTCAGGATTTTAGGCCTGCCTTGTGGTAGCCTGGCCATACTGGCCCTAGAGCAGTGTATTTTCAGTGGTTGGAATCTGTCTAGGCTTTCAACAGTAGAGAATAATTGTTACTATTGTTTTTGGTGGTGCTGAGGATAAACTTTCTAGCCTTGCATGTACTAAACAAGGACTCTACTACTCAGCCATACATTAATGTTCAGATAATTAAATAGCTTTTAAATTTTACCTTACTGTAAATGGATATTTTTACTTTATAAACGTGAATTTTGGGAGCTATTCTGCGGGTGTATATTATCACAAAGATCAGTTCATTAGTAAAAATTCCAAAGAAATCATTCAGCCTTTCCTGGGGCTGCTGAGTATAGTGGTGACCCAGCCCACCCAAGGGCAGTGTGGCTACTTCAGCAAGAACTACCCAGGTTAATCCCAAGCCACTCGGAGAGCCAGTGCCTAGCCAGGTAGTGAACACCACCACCTGCAGGGAGAGGCAGCTTCTGGTGCCTCTCCTGGGAATTTAATGTAAAGCAAGGGGGGAGGAATAAGGCCAGGCTGGCTGTGGGCTAGGAATCAGCATCAAGAGTGCATCTCCTTCCCAGGAGTAAGGTCCCCCCCCCTTTTTTAAATGTATTTAGTATGAGGTCTACAGGGTCTATAGGGTCTCACTACACAGATTGGGCTCATAGTGATCTTCCTGTTTTCAGCCTCCCAAGCACTGGGATTACAGGTATGCCCCACCACGCCCAGTTTCAATCGCCATCTCAGCGCACCCAGGGGTGGGGCTGGCACAGCACGCCAGAGATCAAGCCTGGGCCACTGCACTCTACCTAAGCAGGCACTTTATAGTCTACTGAACTGTCTGGCCAGCCCAAGACCAGTCCCTTTCTTTGAAGGGTGGTGAGGGGATGTGTGTGGGGGAGCAGTACACCTGTGCTCCCAGAAGGAAGGCAGTGACTGATGCTGGAGTGATATGCATGGAAGTTCAGTTGATGACACCTGGAGAAAGGGCCAGTGGTGAGGACACCCTGCTTTTGGGTATCTCTGAGGTACACAGAGACACCACCGAGCGCCATCACTATGAGGTGTTCGCTAAAGTTGAGAACTTCCTGCATGTCTTGTGACAGCCTGCAAGGTCCCCAGAGCTCTGGTGTCCAGATTTTGTGTCTGGACTGTAAATGCCCAGGTCCAAGACCAGCATCCACCTGGCTTCTCCTCTAATGAGAAGCAGTGGGCAGCTCCTGGTAGCCAGGGAGGCTGAGGGGCAGGAGCTAAATAAAAGACCTTTTGTAGGTAAATGATAACTATCAGTGTTCTATGTTTTCATAAAATTCTGAGTTCATGAGCTAAGGTGAATTAAGTAAGTTATTTTTAGAGTTATTGTCTGCAACCTCAATGGCTTTTTATAATTTTACAACTGATTTCACCCAGATGGGTTACTGTGTGTGTCTGAGAGTGTGTCAGATCTTCCTAGGTTTACCAGTGGATGTAAGAGTAATATGTGCTTACCTTCCCAGCAAGCACTGCACCCAGCTGTGCCCTCAAACTGGCCTCCTCTCTGGATGTGGAGTGTAGGTGGCCAGGGCACTTGGTAGAGAGGGGTTAGATTGGGACACATTGACCTCTAGGAAGTGCTGATGGTAACTTTTCTATTAGAATAGTGCCGTTCTTTTTCCTAATTCCACTAGCCTTTGTCCTAGCCATGTAAATGTGTATAATCCCCGTCAAGCTTGGGCATTTAATGATGGAATTAGGAATGTCTATTAAATTTGGCTCTGAAAAGTATTTTGAATAATTCTAATTTCAGTGAAATATCTGCCAAATCATCTTTTATTCATTGTTTTTTTGAGATAATGCATAAGGACATCTGTTAGAAGGTGGAGTCCTTTTATGACTGGTCAGAGCTGGGAAGGCCAGTCTAGAGTCCCTGTCAGCAGGTGTGCAGGGCTCTGGGAGGCCCAGGTAAGCCAGGGCCCAGCTGCAGGCCACACCAGGATGATACAGATATAGAATGTGCTGCTCAGGTCCTGACTCTTCGACAGCTGTGCAAACAGCTCGAGTCTGTCTGCACCCTTTGTTCTTTACCTATGGAATCCGCCCCAGCACTGTGTCACACAGGGCACCACTTGAGGCTTACCTGTCTACCTCTGACCCTTGCAGTCTACCCCGATGGCAGAGTCTGCATCTCCATCCTCCATGCGCCAGGCGACGACCCCATGGGGTACGAGAGCAGTGCCGAGAGGTGGAGCCCTGTGCAGAGTGTGGAGAAGATCCTGCTGTCAGTCGTTAGCATGTTAGCAGGTAGGATGACCCATGCCCGGAATCCCTCATTCATCCCTGTCTGTGTTTCACTTCTTTGTTATTAACTCATGGATATTACTTTAATTTAGTCCTTCTTGTCTCCACTTCTGCAAATGTAAACACACTTTTCATAATAATAAATTCTAAAGACAGTCTCAGTCATGTAGCACTGTGGACCATGATGGACCATTCTTTAATCCTTGGGCATCATGTTCATTCAGTAGGCCTTTGCTGGGGTCCCACTGTGTGTCTCACACTACACAGGGGGTATAAAAATCATTATAATGAGAGTCCCACACTTTGAACCCCACATTCTAGAGAAACGTTCCAAATCCTCCAACCACGAAAGCACAGTGTTATAAATCATAGTAGGCTCACAGACCACTTCCTACGATTAGTTGAGGTTTCCAGGAGTTAAAAGGGGAGTAAGAAAAAGGCATTGGGGTGAAGGAAACATCCAGTCCAGGGTGACAGTGGCCAAACTAGTGAGACACTGCCGGATCTGTAGCAGGGGCCAAGGCTGGTAGAGAGGAGCCTCCAGATGTAAGCTGGGCCAGTGGTTTGATATCCATGGACATCCAGTGGGCTTGATGTCGTTGACTGTGTGTTAGCAAGCCACACCTGCAGCACTGGGCAGGTGATGTGATAGAAGGGCCCAGGCCTTGTGGGTTGGGAGTCAGCAGCTTCTAGGAGCTTAGCCAAGAGTCGGGGATGGGGTGGGGTGGGGTGAGTGGCAGGAGCTGAGAGTATAGGCTGTTGGACTCCTTCTTACTGGTGTTCAGGTCTCAAGTTTCCAATGTGAGGGAGCCCAGAAGTTGGGGTGCAGGAACAAGTGACCTACCCATCTAGTGGAGCTGCCCTGTCCCCAGCAGTAGGAGAGCTTTCCCAGTAGCCAGCTGTGGAAGTCATGTACCTCCCAGCAGAGCACTCACACCGGTCTTGGACTCCCTGCTGGGGCGGTTGAGAAGGCCCTGTGTGTCCCTGGAACATTTGCTGGGGGGTCCATGGTGTGTACAGGGGAAACGCTGCTCTCTTCAAGCTGCTCACACCTTCGCCTTGTCTTTCAGAGCCCAATGATGAGAGTGGCGCCAATGTAGATGCTTCTAAAATGTGGCGGGATGACCGTGAGCAGTTCTACAAGATTGCCAAGCAGATTGTACAGAAGTCCCTGGGGCTGTGAGGCTGTGCCCCTCCCCTCAGCACACGGGCACTCCACAGAGCCATTCCAGCCTGCTCCTACAGACCCTTGGCGGCAGTGCTGCCCTGCTGGCAACAGAACAGGCAGCTTACAGAACCACAGCCTCCTGTCTCTTATCTTTTCACCCAGACAGGCCTCTCTCCGGGACTGATGGCTCACTGTTTGCTGCAGCATTCATGGGTCCTCCTGGGTGCCCAGGTCAGCCATCCACCCTGTTGTCACTACCTCTCCTTCAGCAGCAGTGTGGCCACAGCTGCCCTCCCCTCCTGGGGCACAGGCCACTCTTGGGCAGACAGGACACCAGCGCAGCTCCTCATGACTTGTGGCCTTGGTAGAAGCAGTAGGTAGAGCTGTGGGCTCCTTGTGGGTGCCTGGTCCCATGTGCCCAGGAGGTATCCACTTTCTCGCCTGGTACTTAGCAACAGGGCTTGTTCTCACAGGTGCTGCCGCATTCTCATCCTTAGTTGTCCTTCTGAGAGATGCTTTGGAAATACATCTGTGAGGAACAAGGACGTAGAACTCAAAGATTACTGCTGGCCACAAAACCAATGGCTTTTCCTGGTTGCATTTTATGGGTTTGCATTCAGGTCCTCATTACTGGCATTCTGCTAGAGCACATGCTTGAGAAGAGCTTTAAAGTTCTAGTGATGTTTTCTGGATCCTGCAAAAGTTTTCTCTTTTTGGTCTAAAGCTGAGGAGCTTCAGCATTCTGCCTTGTACATTGCAGCTGCACCAGGAGGCTGGCTGAGGGTCCTGTGTGATCTATGACTTGGATATGGTCCAAGTGTCCCTATTAGTGGACAGGACTCAAAAGCTCAATATCTGCAGGAGGCTCATACAAGCAATAACAGACCTGTCTCATACAGGAGCAAATATCTGACCTATTCCAGGCAGATTTGATTTAAATAGGAGTTTCTATTTTTAAAATAAGAGGCAGCGTGGGAGACATGCAGTAGGTTTCACTTCATGTTGCCTTCTTGTTGTTGTTGATATGGCCCATGGACTGGGGCATTTTTGCCAGGGCCTCTCATCTCATAGTGTGAATAAGTCCTGTGGGGGGTTCTGTGGGGCCTCTGTGGAGCAAGGTTCTTCTTGGAAATTCAATGGAGACTTGCATCTGGGACAGTGGAAAAGGCGGGGCATAATACCTAAATAGTATTTCCAGATGTAAAGGAGATATAGTCCTCTTTGGGTGTGGGTAGGGCAGCCAATCTCAGACTGGCCACACTGGGACAGGGTCACCTGTAGGCTTCTGTGGGAGGTGGAAGAGAGGCAATCTCTTTACAAAACAAAGTATTTTTATTCATTTGTATTTATTAAATGAAAAATCCCATGTTGTCCCTCTTCTGTGGTGGAATTTATTTACTGTTATAAAATAAAGTTCTATATTCTCCCTCTTCTCTGTAGTGATTTTCTTGGTTGAGTCTTGTGTATAAGTATGTGGGAACCTAAGCCAGGCTGAGCTGGCTGGAGTTGCGGCTGCTGCTTTTCCTATGCAGTACGTGGCTACCTATAACTATGCAGCTCCCCCCACCAATGTTACCCCTGCAAGAACTGCTCCTGCAGATTTGTGCTTGCCTCAGAAGGTGTTCTTCATCTTGTGATCATTCTTCCCTGTTCTCTGGCCTCTCTGAGTTCTCCATTGGGGCCATAGGGGATGTGGACATAGGAGAGTTCTGCTTGCCTCTTACTGAATGTCGGCAGCAGTCATAAAAGAAGAGCTGGAGACTGGTCCCCAGTGGAAGCCAGTAAAGTGTTCAGATCCCACTGGGGTCCTCTGGTTCTGCTATGAAGCTGCAGTTATTGCTAAATCTGCTCTGATCTTATTGATTAGTGAGCTGTTCTGGTTTTCTGCAACAGTTTAGTCTTGTCTTGGTTGAATGTCGTTCATAGTTTGTCCCCAAGAGTGGTTCTAGAGTCCATGATTGTGCCTCCAGCTCTCCTTCTCACTGTGGCTGCAGCTCCGCTCTTGGCTGTGGCTTTGGCTCCTTCCTGGGCTTTGGCTTCACCTCCCCTTCAAGCTGTGGCTCTCGTTCCCTGGCTTCCTGCACCAGCTTGCTTTTTCTAGGTTGATCCTCTGTGGATCAGATGATTCCGTTTTTGAAGCGAGCCCTGTCTTCTCGTCTAGAATTCCTCATAAAATTCTCTAGCTTGCTCTCAGTGCAGAGTAAAAGCTCCCCTGTGCCCACTGCTAGCCTCTGCCAAAGTGCCAGCTTCTGTGCCTCCAGGAATAGTGACCCTGCAGGGTCTCCTCCTGCCCTTTGCTGCCCCACTCCAGAGAAGTCACTGTCTCTGCCCCTGACTGAGTGCTGGTCCTCAGTGCTAGTCCCAGAAGTCCCCTTGGGAGCTCCCCATTTACCCTCAGGCCCTCTGGTTATAGCAGGCTTGACATCTAGAGCCAGCAATCTGCAGTGCCTGGAGGGACACTCACTGCTGCCTGTTCCCTGCCATCACTTCTGTGTAACTCATTCATCTGATCATGCCCTGCCCCATGCAGTCCAGACCCAGTGTTTCCCACCCAGCTCCCCCTGTGAGATCTGAAGTGCTTAGTGTTGTACCCCTGCCTGTTCCTGAAAGTGCCTGGCTGACCACCCTCGCTCTCTGGTGGCTCTGTGCTCAGCCTAGTGCGGAATCTTGCATTTCTTTTGCCAGGCCCCTACTGCCAGCACCATGTTCCCTTGCATAACCCCTCTCTGGAGTTTCCTGCCTGGATGGCAGGGTGGTAGTGTGGTGGCCCCTGAGATAGTGAGGAGCAGGGCTGGTGAGCTCTGGACACAATTCTGTTAATGTCCGCACCCCTACCACCGCCACAATGGTTTTAGTCCTTGGAATAGAACAACATGCGTTGTAGCTCGCGTTCACCCTTGCTTCCTCTTGAACTAGATTTCCCATCTCAGGTGAAGTGGGTGGGTGACATGGGTGAAAGAACCAATTTCCCATATGCATGATGTAGAGATTGTCCTGGAGTTGAGAAAGTGTGGCATCCTTAGCCTGGTGATGGGGTGGGGGCACAGGTACAGGGCTCCCCCATCTTGAGCTGGCAGAGGAGATACCTGCAGCATATTTGCTGGTTTGCCCAGGGAGGTTGTGAGGAGTTTTAGTTTCCCTCCTGGAGCTCAGGGCTCCAGCATGGGGAAACAGGTGTCCTATGCACCCCTCATGCTGGGTCTGTTTAGGGCTAAGCTTGGTGCTGGCTTTGTGTCAGGGGGAGTCACAGTTGTGGGTATGAGTCATTAGGGAGGGCAGGTGCTGTGAACTGGTATGCGGGGGGGGGGGTAGGGATTCAGGGCACAGCCTGGCATGGTGGAGGGCAGGTGGTGAGTGCTGTGGTCCCTCTGCACCAGGGCCACTGTGCCCAGCACTGGCCTGTGTTTGGTGAGCTGGCATCCTCAGCACTGCTTTCAGTGCTCACAGGCACCACCATCCAGCTCACCCTGGCCCAGCCAGGGCCAGGCTGTGGTGAGAGGCTATGCCCATGCTGCCAAAAAAGCTGCTCTGGGCTGCCTGGTAATGTGGGGATGCAGATTTGGAGGCTGTCCTGGGCACTGCAGGCACACTTGGGGCAGAGCCTGGCAAGGGGTCAGGGGTGGCTTCAAGAAGCTGAAGGAAGAGGGGAAGGAAAGTACAAGTGGGTCCTATCCATGGGTAGAGACTGAGGTGCAGGATTGTCTAGTCTCTCTCATGGCTGTAAGTGGATGGCCTGGTGCCGTGGCCAAGTGTAAGGGATTAAGCGATCAGCTGGAACCCATCCTTGGCAAGAGAAGTGCCTCACTGGTCTAAGAAGTACTGTGAAGATGACCCTCTGCCAGGGGCCCTCCCATTCCATCATGTGCTTCCTGTCATCCTCCTGGGTTGCCAGGAATTGTGCTGATGGGAGGGACAGGGCTGCCAGCATTGAGCCCACCTCAAGCTAGTGAGCATTGACTGGGGTGCGGGGACCACAGCATGCTCAGGTCTGCTTTGGGGCCAGTGGGGATAGTTGTGCCACTTCTCCCAAGCCACTGTGTGTGTGTGTCTGTATGCACTGTAGCTTTCTGGCAGAGGACCCGATGTTGGAGCTGGTTCAGGAGAATCGGAGATGTGAGGATTGTCCTTTGCTGATGGATCTTTGAAATCCTGGTGCTGTGCCAGGGAGCTGGAACCATATGAAACAACGCAGTGGAGGGGCAGAGCGGGCTGGGCTCTCTCGGGTTTTCCCTGTTGGAGCAGTTCCACCTGGCGGGCAGCCGGGCAGCAGGGCAGGGCCCTGGCCTCAGAGCAGTCTCCGTACTCTTGGCCTCAGAGCAATCTCCATACTCTTGGGCCCTTCCTGCTTCTGAGCCCCTGCTATTTGTGCAGTGTGTGTGTGTGTGTGTGTGTGTGTGTACGCGTGCGCACACACACGCATGCACTCAGGCTGCCCCTTCCTGCAGTCAACTCATGCTGTCTCCCCATCCATGTCTGTGTCTCCTGTGTCTTTCTCCTTCCTCCTTGAGAGCTGTCCATTTATCTCAACCCTGTGACAGGAGCTGCGCTTGGGCCTACATGTGGGTGATTGGCATGAGTGAAGCAGGGCTGATGGGCACCTAGGCAGGTGTACTCTAGATTGACCTGTGCTACTTTCTCCTCCCACAATAAGAAGCTGACCCCAACAACAGTCAGGACATGTTGTCTTGGCTGGCTGCTCCTGGGTCTGTTTGCAGAGTCCCTGAGGCCATGTGAAGATGCCTCATGCTCTTCCAAGATCACTGTGCTGTGTTCTGAGGCAGCAAGGTGTATTGGTGGCCTCCCATTATTCCTTCCATTCCTGGTCACAGTGATTCCTGCTGTGTCACAGGGCTGTGTGAGACCATGTTGTCCATGGTCCAAGGCTGTACAGCTTCTGTTATTGGGGAAGGAAGAGGCTTCTGGTCTTCAGGGAAGTGTCATGATGTTTCCTGGACATGAACGGTGTCCCTGCAAGGCAAGGAGAAGGGCCAGAGAGCTGGACTGCATGCAGCCTCCTTTGTGGGATCTTAGTCCCTCCAGGGGAGGAACCTTCTGCCATGATCATCTCTTTAAGGGCCAGCCCCAGCACCCTCATAGTTCCAGAGGGGACAATCACAGCACAGTAGACCTTTATCAGCTCATTTGCGGATGCTGACTTCTATCTCAGTGATAGCCTTTGGCTGACTGTGTGCTCTTAGATTGAAAGTTTACAGAGTCCACAATTTCCTACCTTGCTGACACTTCCTTTCTTCTATTTCCTCTTCACTCTGGTCCAAAATTATAATAACTCCCATGTTTCAGTTCTGTTCCCCACCCTCTGTGCTCTATGTTATTGTACCTGTATCTGTCACTTCTGTAAGCAGTGCGCAATGCCATTGTCTAGTGTGATTGCTTCTGCTTTTAGCAGATAGCTTTTGTTAGTGAAGAGATGAGTGGGAGCTGAGTTGCAGGTAACAGGGTGACTGCCTGTGCTCTACCTGCTTTCTTCAGGCTGGGTCTGCACTGCTGCTCTCACCCTGAAAGAGCCTCCTCCACTCCCTGACCAGAACTTGCTG